AGGCTCAGGGCATCACCACCCCCACCGCCAAAAAAAAAAACAACTGGGGGAACTGCAACCTTTCCACCACCCAACAATTGACCACTGAAAACATGGTCACCCTGCTCCTTTCGCTTCCTACCCCTTCTCTTTGGCTCAGCCTGCGCAGTGGGGTCAGTCCTGTGCTTGGGAACAGTCTTGTCGGGGGCAATGGAGACCACACGAATAGGTCCAGGAGCAAATTTCTCCCACCTTGTTCGGCATAAGGCCACAACCTAGAAGCTGAATCTTGTTACTGTTCAGTTAATTTTCAATCCAACACTTGAGGGCTGGTACGATGCAAAACAATGTACCTCGAACACATCACCAGACCAACCAAACTCTGCAGAACATCTCCAAAGAACCCCTTCAGGCGTGGGCACCAATCCGACCTCCCGACCATTTGATGAAAATCACCACTCTGGCTCTGGGACAGGTGGCCAGCACTCCCGTTCCTTTTGATCCTAGGATGGAAGACGGTGGTGGTTGATGCGCTAGACCTTCCCCTCCATGTAGAAGAAAACACCTGTCCAAAAGTGAACTCTGAAGATCAATCCAAGCCCATGCTGGTGGAAAAACAAGCTTTTTCCCATCATGTTTGTGGAACTATCTAAAAGAAAACAACTCTACTAAAAGTGAGCTCTGGGGATCAGTCCAAGATCGCAAATTGTTTGTGGCCCTTGTCAAGAGCCATGGGTCCTTCGCAACCTCCAACGCTGTTTTGAGGAACCTGGCGGTGCATGTGACGCAATTGAAACTTCCCCCTTGGTTGGACTCAATTCCTGATATTTCTTTCCACCAACCATATGGCAAGCTGTCCACCCATAATTGCCATACTTGAACCAAAAATTTATAGGAATAAGCTGAAAGTGATGAAAGTTAAACCCAAGTGACTCCTTCTTGGCACGTTCGTGAAGGCCATTTCGAGGGAGTTCTTTCAAAGAATCAGTGAGGTGGGAAAGGTAGTCAGCTGGAAGACAAACAAATGGGCTTTGGCTCAAAGGGCTTGAGTTCACCAGGTGCTTCACCAGCATGACACAGTCTTCTCCGCTGCATGTGTTTTTCTCCTAAACAGTCAGCACATCTACACACAGAGCGTGTTATATTGAACATGTAAACTCAAAAATGTTGTCATAATATTTTGTTGTCATCACGACTTGTTTTTATCGCAGGGAGTTGGGCGGTGAGGCATTGATGCATACGGTCTGGGCAGAATTCGCATTGATAGCAACTTCGATGTGGTGTCCATGTGCGCAAACCCTCAGTAGGGTTGTCCTGGCATTTGCGATCGAATCTTTTCTTGTATTGCTTGGTGTTCTTGGCACGATGTCGACCTGGCTTGTCATGGATGAAGTGTTGTGGATCCTGGTCGATGGCCACAATGCGCTCCAGTGCCTGGGTGTAGATCTGTTTGTAGTCCTCAGATCCAGTTTAATCAGGTGTCCTGGCCTTGGGGCGTGATCTTGCCTTGTTCGGTGAAGTGTTTCAACGAGATCCTGAAAGTCTTATCGCTGTTTGGCAATGGTCCAGGATGTGTTGAGCCAGGACCCGAAGGCCATAGAACAAAGCCCTGGCCTTGCTCTGCTTGCCCGCGGCAAGGCCTGTGATAGCTGCCACTCGACGAAGTTGCCCAATGGAGAAAGTATGGATGCAAACAGCAAAAACCCATCCTTGGGAGCGGACATCATATGTTGTGGGAGCCGCATCGATGGTGACGGCATATAGCCATGATGTTCTGCCAAGTTGAGAACCTCGAGACGCTGCCAGTGCCCATTCCTTCAGGGCCAGGGATGCCCAGTAATTAGTGTGCGCGTAGCGCTCCTTGTTGATCCATCCTCTGCCCACAGTGGGTCTTCGTCTGGGTTGTTGACTTGTTCGATCCAATCAATGGGCACAGGAGTGTGCTGTTTGCCAAGGTACCATGCGCGAAGCCAAACGATGTGTCGGGAGATGGCAGATTGGACAGCTGGTGCTGTCTTTGTTGTCTTTGAGTCGAATGGCTCCTTGGACCCATGTCTTCAGTGCTGTGGCCTCCTTCTTGTTGGCGGTCTTGAGGACATTCTTGTAGATGGCCCAATCCATACCATTCCTCATGTGGTGGCAATGTTTGTGGTTGCGAAGGCGGCGGAGCCGTTGATGCCCACACTCTTGTAGCAGAAGTTCTTCAAGTTTCCACGGGTTCATGAAGATCAAGATGAATGGCGGGCCCATATTCCATATCATTCCTGCTCCAGTGGAAAAGGCCTGTGGTATTCCATTGCCATTCCCACAGGTAGATCACTGCCGCCGCCATGGGTCCTTTGACCTGATAGCAGGGGTGCTTCTGCTTTTTGAGGTGGCTTTAAAGTTGCTTCCATGCTCCAGCCATATGTGCAAGTTGGTCCGGAGGCCATGCATCAAGGAGGGACTTGAAAGCTTTGAGCTTTGATGTGTTGAAGAACGACCTGGGTCTTGATACCTAGAGGCATGGATGTCGTAGACGATGTCCAGGAGGCCTCCTTTGTGATGCCCCAGCTGAGTGCCAAGAGCCTGCCGCAAGATGGTGCGGTATCGTGGACTCCACATAGCCACTGGCTGTATTCCGCCTCTGTGAAGACGGAGCCTGTTTCTCAGTCGTGGCAACCTCAGGGATCTAAGTTTGAGCTTCCTGTTGGTGCTCTTGGCGAACCTGCCCTTCATGACTGGTATGCGTCTAAACCTCCCGGCTTGATGGTCTATGCCAAGATCACGTAGGACTGGGGCGATCATCATCACCCAAGTGCGGCTTCAATGCCTTGGTGGTGGCCTGCTCCGTGGTGATGAAGGCAGTTCTTTGCGTTCACTTTGAGTCCAAGGCTGTCAGGGCGGTGTTTGAGGTCTCGCCAGCCTGCAATTGCCAAGGAGGCAGCTTTATGAGGTGTGGTAGCTTCAAGGTCGAATCCAATGTCATCAACCCATCCGTTGAGGTGGAGCTAGGGATGCTGCTGTGCGAAGGGTCTCAAAGCAGGGGCTAAGTAGGTCTTGGCGAGGAAAGTTGCTTGTGGGCATCCTGGCGCTACCTCACTGGTGACATAGAAGAACTGTGAAAGCTCTTCCTCTGCAAGGATAGCCTTGGGTCCAGTATAGAGCTGCATTGCCAACCAAAGGGGAAGTGGTGAAGTTCTTGAGCAGCCTTTGCCAATGTTTGGAGATCAATCGTGTCGTAGAAGGTGCTCATATCCATGAGGACTGTGATGCCATGCAAGCAGCGGCTCTTGGTGATCTCTTGCCGCATCAGTCTGGCCAGGGCCACATGTAGGACTTGTGCACCTGGTCTGGCACGGTCGTAGTTCATGTCGAAGGGAAGGTGAAGCTGCCAGCTGTCCATCAGGTCCTTTCACAATTTGCACCATAGCCGGTAGACCGTTGATGTGGGTGGATGGATGGGTTGATGGAAAACAGTGGAAGTGTTTAATGTGTTGGCTCAATCTCAGGGATCCCAAATCAAATTCCAGGGACACCAAATCAGCAATTCCTTGGCAATCATAGACCGTCTCAAAAATTCGACCGCGGTTGATCCCGATAGATGTGGTAAAACGCAGTAAGAAGAAACCAAATTCTTCGTCCTGAAACACATATATATATATATAAAGCATATATATTATATATATATTACATTTTGTCCGATTCCCAAAATTTGTCAATTCCACCAAAGCTCGCCGTTGAGCTTCATGGAGGGCTTCTGAGAGCACACAGCTCCACGCACAATTCGTCTCCTGAGACGGAGGTCGTCAGCGCGATTGACATCTCCATCAATTCTCGAAGATTCATTGTTACTAGTAGCTTCTTGTTACTACTAGTAAGGCACCTGTTACTAGAAGCGATGCACTTGTTGCTAATAGCTTTTTGTTACTACTAGTAAGGCACTTGTTACTCCTAGCGTGGCACTTGTTACTACTAGCGTAACAATGTTTGCCAAACAGCATTTTAAGAACTCCCGAATTCCTGTTGGTGAATTTGTTTGCCTTTGTTTACTTTAAGATAATCCGAACACCTGTGCATGGACCCTGACCGCTGAAGAAGCAAGCATGTGCAAGTCTTGGTGGAGAAGCCTTCTGAGATGGATGAGCTGTCTAGTGCAGGTCCGAAACCACAAAGAAATATGACCACTTGGATCTATTTCATTTGCTGTGCTTGGCCAGGTGAACATCTTTCCAAGCATGCTGTGCTTTGCCAGGTGAGAACATTCCAGGTGAGAACTATTACATACTATTACTGCTGGAAGACATTCGCTTCCCGCTTACGTCTCAACAATAGATCAAACATAGCCTTCCATGTCCGCTCTGATGAAGCACTGCTTCTGTCAACTGTAGTTATACTACTGTCTAGTGACTTAGGCAAATGTGGCTCAAGTAGCATACTCACACTGCTACCCACAGGGCTAGGTCATCTGTGCTCACAATACAGTACAGGATGTCTGGGTGCAAAAACCTGGTGTCATAGGCCTTTGGAATCGCCATATATGTTCGACAAGTCCTAAGTTGCTGGTGAGATATGTATGTAAATACAGTCCTCTTTAGTTCTTCACTCAGTATGTTTTGATGTCCACTCCAGAAACGACACCCCAAGCGTCTGACGCAGCAAGGAAGGCGGAGCAAACCGCCACATCCTCGGACGGTGGAGCCCGGATGTTCAGCTGATTGGAATAGTTCTAGAGAAGTTGATTAAAAACACAAGCTGTTTGCAAGTGTTTGCAAGATCAGTTTTTCATATGACATAGAAATGCGTAACAAAACAACTGCTTGAATTGGCCCGATTCCTCAGCGACAGGAACGACCAATCCTTGCCCACGCTGCTTGAAAAAGCCCCAGAAGTGGTCTTTTTCGGTGCACTGCAAATGTAGATTTGGGACTCACCCTATGATATACACCCAAAGCCATCGTCCCCTCAGCCAAGGGCAATGACCATGACCAAACCTCCACGCTCAGTGGCTTTAAACTCCCCATCTACCCTTCTTTCATCTCTTAGCACTTGTAATTCACGCATATTCGCCCTGATCTTCCCCTTGCACTCCAAGACTCTGGCTTCAACCCTCTGCTGCGGGCTCCTCGCAACAGCTCCGCCGCCCGGCGCCACGCGCGTCCGGCGCCACCGCGCGCCGTGGCGGCCAGGGTCGCCAGGAGTGTCGCGGCGTCCGGTGCCAGGCGCCGCGGCGACAACGAGGCGAAGAGCTCCAGCGCAGCGGTCCAACGACCGGTGGCCTGGTGGGCGGGTGGGGTAGCGCCTGGGTCGGTGGTTTTGGGTGGTTGGGGAGCTGAAAGGGGTAAAAAGAATACACTCTTTGTTGAGTTTGTTCATGTTTGCTCATCTGGAGTCATTAGCTACTTGTAGAAAACCAAGCGTCTGAGGAAGTCTAGGTGTTTGGCCTATTGGTCCAACCCTCCCAGAAAGGTTCACATGGTCAACCTTTTCACTTGTCAGGAAGAGAACAAAACTAAAACATCTGCGGATTGTCATCTTCCGCCACTTGCACAAGCCCCTCAACCCCGATCCTGCCCGCACTCTAAAACTGACTTCTACTCCAAGCTCTTCTTATGGGCTTCTTACATCCCACGCATCTTATGGTCGCAAGGGCGTCGAGCCCCTTGCCTGGTGGAGCTGCACTTGGACGTTCACCACCACCATGTTGGGCTCCGACTCGACAGCGTCCAGGAGCCACGTCGACGTGGCCATCTGCAAGGCCTCCATGCACCACCAGACCCGGTGTGGGGCGCGGCACGGTGGACCAAAGGAACCCCCGCGGGGTAGAAGCGATTTGGGATTGCTCAACAAATCTCTGCCCCAAGGTTTCAAGGGATTTGAGGAAAAAGCGATTCATGGTATTTCATGGTCATGTTTGGGTTCTACATGAGGAGAATCATCGTAAGCATGAGTTGCTTTGCCATCCTTTTGTCTTGAGCCAGGCAGTTCTTTCTTTTTGATTTTCTGTTAAAGGCGTCCTTGCTTTGTCCCACCACCTACACCCTCGGAAGCCCAACCGACCTTGGCGCATGCCAAGAGTGTAGCAGTGTAGGCCGCACGGTCTGCCCTGCCGCGCTTCCGCTCGAGGAACTCCAGCAGTTGCAAGCACCAGGGCCACTCCTCAAGGAACCCAAACTCCAGAAACACACAGGACCAGTGGTAGAGATGGTCATTCATCCGGATCTGGTGGAGTAATAATGTTTGCTTTCATAACTTTCATAATAGCTAACAGCCAAAGCCTGAAATATAGGCAACAACTATACTAGGACCCACAAGGGGCGGTCAATGGACACCCCTTAACAGCTAAGGGCTAAGGGGCTTTTAATAGACACCCCTTAGGGTGTCCTGGTATGAATGAATATGAATGATGTCCTTTTCGGAGATGTGGGGTCCAACACCAGGTACCACAAGTGACGACTGCGACTGGCCCTGGCTTTCCTCTTGGCGTTGGCAGGCCGCTAGAAGTGCAGTCCCTGCGATCTCTTCATCAGATCTCAGCGTGGTGGACTACCGCGATCTCCGCATAATTGGTCGGGGTCTCGCCGACAGGAGCAGGTTGGGCCAAGGTGGTGGTTTGCGAGAGATCAACAGGTGGTGGTGGTTGGGCCAAGGTGCAATCAGGTTGGGCTTCAGGATCAGTTTGTTGAGTTTCAACGAGCTTCAGATTGTTCTGAAGCTCAATGGCTGGATGATCTCAACCCGCCCCTCAACGCGTCCTAACCCTTCCACCAGCGTCGAGAAGAGGACGCAGCGGTCTAGTTTGCCCGGGCGACATCGTGAACTGCCGCTGAGTGGGGAATGGATTCGACCCCGAGTCAGCCTACGATCTGATCCTCTCAGTGCGAATCGCAGAAGAATGCTTCATGTCAACACAGGAGCCTTATGATTATATAATGGACCCAAAGCGAATGGCCAAAGTACGGGCATTGAAATGAAGTGTGTTTGTGCGTGACATACTTCACCTCGGTAGATATATCAGGATTATCAAGGACAAGTCATCTTGAACGGCATGAATTGATTGTCTCGGATACGCAGCTCCACCCTCCGACTGGCACTCCGCCCAAGACTGAATCAACACGGGGGTCGACCAACAAACAAACAAACAGACCTGCTCGGGCGAAGTTGTTGCACACCTAACTCGTCCAGTGATTCAATGCTCCGATGGTTGTGGTCAAGAAGACCTGCTTAGCAAGTGACACAAAAACACAAAGGCCTGTTTCAGTACTGCTTCAGGGATTCGGGTAAAGACAGCAACCACCCCACCATATCGCTGCCATTGACCATGTTGTAAGATGAGTGGTATGTGTCACGTGATGTTCAAAATTCGTAGACCTGTGAATTCCCCCTTTTCAAGAGTGTCATTAAACACAGCAAAACTACACCCATCCCTTAGGACCAATTGTTTGTAGCCCTGCAGATCTATTCGGCTATTCCCAACAATGGTTACACCATGGTGCCACAACAGAGGGGTGTCTGTATCAATGGGTCTGTGTTTGTGCTGGATCCTCCCTCGGAGGGACCAAGGGTCGAACTGTCGCAACCGGGGTCGGTGGGTCGAAGCGCCGTCCCAGGAGCTGCCCATAGATGTGCTCTGCGAAGATTTGAAGACCATGACTCCAACCTCACATAGATGTACTCAGCATGCCGGTGGAACTGGATGTGCCTTCTCCAGTGAGTAACCTCTTTCACAACAAACTTGAGGAGCCTCCAAGACCCCAGCTGGACCTGCACCATGTGAACACGACGAATGCCGCGAGACGGCATGTGTCTCCTGGCTTGCCCAGCTGGACCTTTCACTTTAAGGTGGGATCATGCCCTAGTATTCTCGAGCATTTTTGCCAGCATTTGCTGGTAGTATCGCCCAGCACTTCAGCTGAATCTTCCCTACAGCCCTAGGGATCTAGTCCTTACACCTACATGGGCACTCTAAATCATTCGCTGTAAGGCTCATCTCAACGTTCCTGGTACGTTCTTGGTGTTTCTGTCTGTGGTTGGCATGGACTACACTCAAATAGTCTACCGCAAGTCAGTCATTCCTTACTAGTAGTTACTAGTAGCAACCGGTGGGCGGGGGACTTCCAAGTGGGCTTTCACATTCGCCCAAGCCTTCGCGAAGCTTTCGCGAACACATGTCACGAGTAGTGATTCAGCAGGGTTTCATGACCCTGCAGGATTAATTATTAAACAACAAACATCGACATCGATAACCAATATTTTGGGATCTTTTGCGGTGGCGGAAGAATATGTTGGCGCAGTCAGGTTTGTTCAAACCATGTTTAAACCAAAGCATTTGCCTCAAGATTTGCTGATTTGCTCTGTCTTCTGACTCAGGTGGAGAACCTCCAAACCACCCCACTTGGCCCGTCGTCTCGTCCCAGCTACGTTCGCCCAAGGGGCGGCACGTCTCGCCCTTGCAGCAAGCGCTCACGGCGGAGTTGAAGCACACGGCGTCGGCGAGGGTGCTCCGCTGTCTGAGTCAGGGGATGTTTGTTCGTCTCAAGTGTTCACAGAGGAGTGAAATGAGAACAGGTGGAGTGAGATCAACAGAAAACAGGTGGAAGGGCCATGCACATCGAAACCAAGGCTCAAAATGGTTGTAAACCTTGATGGCATACCTTGATGTGTGAGAGTTCAAAAAGAAATAAAGCACATGGCAAAAGCACATGTGAGGTCTTCATCATTCTTAATTTACTGTGTTCTCATTTTTTAATGGGGCTTCCTACGGTTGAACGTCGCCCCATGGTTGAAAACGGAACTTTAGTGGAACAACTGGTGGGTGGAAATGGAGTTAAGTAGAGTCGCGTCAGTTCAGTTCACTTGCTGGGGAGATTTGTGGCAGGAATTGAATGGGTCCCAACGGGATCACTTGCAGCCCTAGAGAACTGTAGCGGCCTGAAACAGGGGACAGTGGACGTCTTGAACCGGGATTTGCCACGTCTTGCAACCTGGCAATAAACCAACCGACCTCTGAACACTTGATCCGACACTTCGAGTCGCCAAGATGAAAGGGAACAACCAGTTTGTAGAGCATATGGTCATCAAAAGGGCCATGCCATGCCATCCACTTCCATGATTGCTGCAAGGAGTGTATCTCCAAACCATTGGCTTTTCAAGGGAACACGGTCCAAAGTTCTGCCCCAGAATCAACACAGCTTTCAACTTCCGGTTTGGAAAGCCGAACTGTATTTCCTCGAATACACTAGCGGAATCAACCTGATTTGCATCCTTTACCTGCAACAATCACTGCATTTTTGGATACTCGCTGTTCACCAAGCGCAAACAGCAGTGTCCAATGTAATGTATCAACCGGTTGGTTGAGGATGGGTTGCGGCATGCCCCAAGCCTTCCATGAAGCGCTTCCGATCTTCGTCGACGCAGAACACTTCTGACACTTGTGCCAAACAGTTTTCGTCCACAACTCCACTACTCAACTTTTTGTCATTGGCTTAACATGCTTTGTACATGTTGTTTTCACTCACCAGCCCTTGGTTGGCCAGTCAGGTGGCACAAGACCTTCAGAACACGCTGAAAACACTGAATTCCGGCCGAACAAAGTTCCTGTTGATTGAGGCCCTAGACCGGTGATGCGAATTGCCCCACATTCAGCAAGGCATTGACTTCCTGCCACCCACGTTCTGCCAAACTAAGGGAGAGGGAGTATGTCTCTTCCAAACCCAGCCTTGTCGCACAAATCACACTTAAACACACCAACAAACAAACAGGCTTGGTTGCTTCCAAGGACCTGACACAGTCCCAACTATAGTAGGATGCTAGTTGCCCACCAGGAGCAATTTCTTTCCGCCACCGCATAGCAACGTGGTTCAGCTCTTCCAACTGCAGCGCCTCTTCACTTCCAGCACTTCCACCGCTGCTATCCAATGACTCTTGCGCTCGCAAGCCTTGCCGCACGGTTCCGTGAGAGCACTGGTTGATGTGAGCACCCTCAACCTGGACTACATTCAGTGCTTGGCGCTGGCGCACAACAGCGGCGGTTCGAACATCGAGCTAGTTCAGCAGAAAGGCGGCGCAGAACAAACATCACTTGTGAAAGAGATCCTGCTTTCATTGTTTTGGGTGAAGTATCAAAAAAAACTATTTATCGCATCAATAAAAAATTATTCAAGGGGATCAATAAAAAACTAATTACTTAATCAAAAAAAAATAATTCTACCACGAACCCTCTTTGGGCTGGGCGTCGGCCTGTATACTAATCTCTTTCCTCCTGCCTGGCCTCCTGGCTAACAGGCAGATTCCGCTCAGAGTCGAAATTCGTGGCAGGAATCTTGTGGCACAGGGGCGGGTTGGGGGGAGGGGGACGCGCCTCCCCCTATGAGCAGACACGGCTAACGCTTTCAGGTATGTACTACATTATTCTGAACTAACGTGAGTGATTAAATGTTTGATGGTTTTTTCTTTTCTGATTATTGGAGTAATTTCATTCTATTTCATACATTTTGTCAATTCTGTAATGCATTATATTAAATCACGTTTCCTGTCTCTTCCTGGCTTTCTGGCCTCTTTTTTACACCAGCAGCAGCTTTAGTTTTTAAAAGTCAAGTTTCCGCTCAAATCTTCCTGTGTGTCATACTAAGTTGTTGGTTCCTGGCTGATTGGCTTTTTTGTCTAGAATAACAGCAGCTTTAATGTTCAACAGGCAAGGTTCCGCTTACAGTCAGATTTCGTCGCAAGACTTTTGAATAGCATTTGCAGATTTGGTGGGCAAGGTTTACCAAGGTTCCACTAAAAGCCTGATTTCATGGCAGGAACGTTGAATACTATCTGCAGATTTCGTTGCGCGGGAGGGGGGTTGGGGGGGAGGGCGCAGCGCCTCCCCCCCACGAGCGCTCGGAAAAACATGCAATGAATTATACAGAGCCAAACGAAAGTCAGGAAATCTATGTACAGGAGTAAGACACATCGAGTGGTAGAATCGGCCTCCTGTTCGAAAAGTGTAGAGGCAGGGTGTGAGTATCAAGATCAAATCGGCAAAAGTGAGTGCGTGAGTCAAGTTGAAATGGCAACATCCTTCTCTAAATTTTAACCCTCGGGTGGCTCACCAAAGGGTGAGTCAACTTGGAAGGGCAACATCCTTCTTTAATTTTTACCCCTGCATGGCCCACAAAAGGTTCAGTCAAGTTGAAATGGCAATTTACCCCTGCATCACAAAAGGGTGAGTGAACTTGGCATAGCCACTTCCATCTCTAAATTTTAGCCCTGCATTGCACACAAAAGGGTGAGTCAAGTTGGGGTGACCACTTCCTTCTCTAAATTTCACCCTGCCCACAAAAGGGTGAGTCAAGAAATGGCAACATCCTTCTCTAAATTTTACCCCTGCATGGCCCACAAAAGGGTGAGTCAAGTTGGACTGGCCACTTCCTTCTCTAAATTTTACCCTGCCCACAAAAGGGTGAGTAAAGTTGAAATGGCAACATCCTTCTCTAAATTTTACCCCTGCATGGCCCACAAAAGGGTGAGTGAACTTGGCATAGCCACTTCCTTCTCGAAATTTCACCCTGCCCACAAAAGGACAAAAGGGTGAGTGAGTGAGTGAGTGAGAGTGAGTGAAAGTGAGTGAGAGTGAGTGAGAGTGAGTGAG